ATCTTGCTGCATCACGAGTTAAAACAGAATAATCGCTTAAGCGATACAATGATCGCTTAAGCGAATTACAAGCAACATCCCAAACTACTACCCTATCTTCGCCGGCCTTCTCCTCGCGCCTGGATCCTCCGGCGACTCCTCTGCCCTGATATATCGCCGGAATCCACCTCCTGGCCTGCATTCTCTCCGGAATCCCCTTCTGGCCTGAATTCTCGCCTGACTCCTCGTCTTCAGACCCCTTTGCTGGTTCTTCCCTCTGTCTTGTTGCCGCGGGCGTCTCCTCTACGTGTGGACCACCTTCAATGGTCAGATGATCGACCAGCAGCCATTGACCTGCTTGCGCCACCGTCACTAGGATTCGAAGTGGCGTTGGGTTGTCGTCGTCTTGTGAGTGTCAGCCATGGGTTTGGATTGAATTTGGTGTGAAAATTTGTAGTTTGGATTGGAATACGGGCTGTATCGCCGGAAATCGCGCAGATTCCGTTTATAGTTGAAGAAATCGATCGAAAATCGCGACTATATCGCCGAAAATCGCGACTGTATTCCGTTTAGGGTTCAAGAAATTGATTTAGGGTGCAAATCAATTGGTGTTGGATCGGAAGAAATCGCGTCTCCCTTTCGTTCAGAAATCGCGTTTTCAACTGATGATTTCGATTAAGCGACGTAATTTTGTGGGGCTTGTTTTGCGAAATTTCAAATTTTGAAAACTTTCATTATTTTTGATTCGGCCCACATATTTTTAATCTTTTCATTTTACCACCATTTTACGTGTTTAATTAATCCTAACTATGCCACGTCATCTTCTCTAAATTATAAAATATTTGATGAACAGTTTAAGGCCATTTTCTTAAATACATACTGGGGGGACCGGGCAGCTAAATTTTCTCCTTAAAAGGGTTATAGCATAAAAAGGACACGCAGAAGCAAATTCCTGGATGTCAAAGAAGAATAAAGGTATAGAAATCAGAGTGGTTGACAGAACGAGTAGGGTGCGTGTACGCGTATCCAGACAGATGTGAAAATAAAAAGAATGGCTTTCGCTTTCTTCTTTTCGATTTTTGATCTGTCTGTGTGTAATATTTTCCTCAGCATATTCCATATTTAATGCATTTTGTTTTGTGGGAGCCTCTAGAAAGACATGGGAATTGATCCCAGACTCTCCATCTCTTCTTCTGCCTTCTGGTTTCTCGCTCATTCTATTTTAAAATGTCAATTCAGTGACAATAATGTAAATTTGGAATATTTTTGGGCGTGTTTAGTACAGTACTTAAGTTTCAAAGCATTCAGACCTAAATGACCTAAGATTTTTTTCTAACAGTTTCCTTAAAACAATGTGAAAAATATGCTTTTAACCTACCGATAGATCTGCAATTAGGTAGGATTTTGTTTTTAAACTTATAGACTGTGAAACCAGGAGAAGACCCAGTAATGATTATTATGTGACTTCCAGGTTGTTTTACTTAATTAATACTTTTATAATATATAAATTTTAAACATTTTTATCCGTTGGTGGAAATTATTTTATTTTAAAATAATTTCTCTTCTTAAAAAAAAAAAAAAATTCAAAAATGGAGTGTCAGTTTAATACCCGCGAAATGTAAAAAACATGCCCAGTTCAGTTGGTGGAAAACAACCAAAAGTACAAAAAACAAATCCACTGCACAATCAGTACATTTTGACAATACCTACCCAATTAGTTTGTCACGTAGAAGAAAGAAATATCCCGTATGGCACGTGATCTGCACCCACGAAAATTGAAAACGTGTTACGTGAACATTGGCTTGTTCGTTCTGAACATTTACGAAAATCTAGATGATCTAATGGAGTTTCAGTATCGCTTACTGTGCAGTTGGAACCCTCAAACACCCTTCATTTTCTTCTAAAGCTCCACTTAAACCCTTCACCAATCAATTTCACCAATCTCGAACATATCAAAAGTTTGAGGTTGCTGTTAGATAGAAAAAAAGTACCAGACACCAAACATGTCGGGGGAAGACATGGAGAGAGGAGTGAACAAGAACAGGACGGGTAATAGCACAGCAACACCAACATTAACAACGTTATGCAACATCATCCGTACGATCGAAGACATGGAGTCTCAGTGGACTTCTTGGTTTTCCCATGTTCGTGTTGGCTAATGTTGCTGTTTGTAATTGTTGTCATGTTCATCAACGACTGTCCTAAACACAAAAATTCGCCCTTTGATGACAAGTGTGTGGCTAGGTTTCTTGGGAGGTTCTCGTTTGAGCCTTTGAGAGAAAATCCTCTTTTTGGTCCCTCTTCTCGCACGTAATCACTGATTCTCTCATTTTTTCTTCTAAATGTTATTGTTTTTGTGAGATTTGGAACTAGTGATGTTTGTGACTTTGGTTTTAATTAAGTTGTTTAAATGTTTTGTTGCTGAACTTTGTTAGATTCAGCCTCAGTTTGCTCGTTCTGATATAAATATTGGTCTTGTCAATTATGTTAAAAACTTTGCATAAATAGATTAATTGGACATGAATTTATATGCAAATATGGGGTTTATTCATTCAATTTATGACCCTCTGTTTTTTATTGTTTTTGTTTCTGAAATCTAAAATTTGGAATTAATATTAGATACATGGTGGTTGATTTCCTGCGGTTCTTTAATTAATTAGATATTTTGGGACTGAAGTTGGTTAATTATTACAGTATTAATTTGAGGTTATTAGCTTCATAGGTTGTCAAGGTTTAAGCTTTCTAGACTAATTCATTGCTTTAGGTGTGAAAGTTGGTGGATCTGGTGAAAATTGGAAATTTCAGTTGTTTTGATGTTATTGTTCTTTAAATCAGCTATTTCGTTTAACTTAACTAAAGAAATAAAGAGTGGGATCGAAATTTCAAAAATAAAAGTAGTTGAACAAATTCTTTTGATTGTTTTTGAAGATTGGAGAAATTGGGTGCACTTGAATGGAAAAAAGTGGTCGATAAACATCAAGGATGGAGACTTATCACTTGTGTCTGGTTGCATGCTGGTATTATTCATCTTCTCACAAATATGCTGTGCCTTGTTTTCATTGGTATTCGCCTGGAACAACAATTCGGATTTGGTATGTTGCCTTTCATGTTTTTGGAACATTACATTTTACCTTCTTCATTAAATTGTTGAATATGTATACTTCTTGTTTTGAAGCTTAACTTGCTTTACTCCTCTTAAATCAGTTAAGATTTGTAACTTATTTGCTGAACTTTTTTCACCCTTTGGTAGTGCGAATTGGAATAATCTACCTGTTGGCTGGATTTGGTGGGAGTGTTCTTTCCTCCTTATTTATCGGCGACAGCATCTCTGTTGGTGCTTCTGGCGCGCTTTTTGGACTTCTTGGAGCAATGCTTTCTGAATTAATTACAAACTGGTCTCTTTATACCAACAAGGTGAGCAATGGTAACCCATTTCATTTGCTCTTCTTACTGATGTTAAGTAAAAGTTAGTTATAAATGTTTCTCATGCTTGCTGCAAGAAGATGATTAAGTCTTAGTTGGTTTCATAGGCTGCAGCGCTGGTTACTCTTCTGGTGATCATTGCCATTAATCTTGCAATAGGAATTTTGCCACATGTGGATAATTTCGCTCACATTGGTGGATTTCTTACTGGCTTTTTCCTTGGCTTCATTTTGCTGCCTCGTCCTCGGTTTAGGTGGCTAGATCGCAGGAATCTTCCTGACAGTGCTCCTGTCAGATCAAAATACAAGGCTTATCAATATGTTCTATGGTTGGTTTCTCTGGTTCTACTAGTTGCAGGGTGAGTTACTCTCAGTAATCCAACTATAACTTATTGGTGTCAAATCATACGGTTTTGGGGACCTCCTGATTGGAATCATCATCTTTTGGTGTCGGTATCATATCTGAGACGGTGCTTCCATTAGAATGTAGTCACATGAAAATCACCATCATGATACATATATATTTGCCAGGTCATAGATCCATTTTCATTGTTGTGACAAAGGGAAACAGAAGGATCTACCTCATTTTCGTAATGTGGGGTATGAATGCATGTTTTTGTTGGTTCCAACTGGAGACAGCGCATGTAATAATGTCATTTCATTTGATCTCCCATGGCATGACTCGATTAGATCTTTTCAGCTCTCGTTTCAGGTTACATAAAACAATCTAAGAACAAAAAAGTGATGTGATTTGGATAGAAGTCATGTTGAATTATAAGTGTGTGAAGAGTAAAGCTTTAACTAATGTAAATAGTTGATATGGTTGAATGCAGATTCACAGTTGGGCTGGTGATGCTGTACCGGCAAAAGAATGGTTATGATCAGTGCCATTGGTGTCAATACTTGAGCTGTGTTCGAACCTCCCGATGGAATTGCGATGGAAATTAGTAGTTTTTACATGTAAATGCATAGGTGGTAGCTAGAAACTGGATGGCTTTTCATGTAATTCTTCTGATGAGTACCTGCTTTTACTCTTGGCTTTCCACTACATTATTAATACAATTAATTCTTGTTTGTATGTTTACTTATTACTGCTCAAGTTGTTATAAGCTGTTTAGTTAATGTAATGCTAATGATTTATCTTTTAACAAAAACTAAATAATGATTCTATTTCTATATAATAAAAGGATTTATAAAAATGGCCTTGCCCAGACTCGAACCCGGGACCTTCGATGTTAAACAAGAAAAAGTAACTTTTAGTCAGTCGATTCTAAACAAGAAAAAGTAAAAATATGGCTTCGCCCGGACTCGAACCGGAGACCTTCAGTGTGTTAGACTGACGTGATAACCAACTACACCACGAAACCTTGTTGGCTTTTAAATCGCAACAGTAAATCTTAATCAACCCAAAAAATAATGAATGCACACACCATTTTTGAAAAATATTGTATGGTCTATTATATTACCCCTCTGATAGAAAGTATGGTCTATCATAATTTTAAAATATCATAAGTACTTGGAAAATAATAAACCAATCCTTTAAATATAATAAAGTGCATGGGTAGAAATAGAACTCATTCAACCTTAATGAAGAGCACACATTCTTCATTGCACACCAACCCAATACAAATGAACACTATAAAATGGCCACAATACCATTAAGAAACTATTTCAATAGAAATAAAAATTAATTGCTAGTTGCTAAAACTTGTTTACATGGAGTCTCATAAATACGTAATTGGAGTACTACTGATGCTAACTTGGGCCGCATCAGTATCATCAATCACAGACTGCCCTACCGTGACGGCATTGATCTCTTCCTGCTCAACCTTTATCACCTATGGTTCACCTGACCCCTTTCCTGGTTCGCCGTGCTGTGATGCCATTACCACCCTCAACTTAATCGCTGATGCTCCAGATAATAGGCCATCGGTTTGTAGATGTTTGATGGGCCTTATCACCACTTACAATCCTAATGCTACAGCTATAGCTACTTTGCCTGGCTTCTGTGGTATCCATTTGGGCTTCACCATTGGTCCCAACACTGACTGCAACTAGTATGTGTATATCTATCTCTCTGTAGCTGACTTTAATGGTTCATTTGTTCTATCTTTTAGTAGGTTTGAGTTGTGATAATTATGCTACATTGATGATGCAGCATGACATGACTGGAAATTACAAGACATGGAGTCAACTTCTCGGATGACAAAAATGAAGCTCAAATTTATGTCTTCAATGGCAAAGAAGAAGAAGAAGAGCTTAGCTATTATGTTGTTTTGTTGTTATTTCTTAAGTTATAAGTGATGCTTTATATGAATCATATTATATTAATTTTGTGAGCTTATTGATTCCATCGAGCTTCTTTCGGGTGTACAAACACAGGAACTGTGACACGAGATTGCAAAGATAAAAACATAGTACCAGCTTGAACGGGGCTTCATCATCTGTGATATAAATTAAAGAATGAACAAACCATTGCAATAATCACAGTACTCATCAAGTAGGACCAAGTTTGATGTTAACTGAACCAAATTTAATGTCAAGAGAGAGGGATGTAGTTTAACCAGGCAATTAATTATTAGAAGACCTTTTAAATCTTCAATGAATGAAAAATAAAAGTAAAAAAGAAAAAGATGCATACAAAGGAAGGAAACCGCAGAGTAATTAACTATTTTTAACTAGTTGAATGGTTCGATAGGAACTCTTGGGTGTATTACTTATGAGGTTTTTAGTTTAAGTCCCTCATCGGTTGTTAATAGGGATAGCCACTAAAACTCTTATTCGGCTGATAATTCTAAGATTAGTTGAGGTGTGCGAAAGCTGACTCAGACATCTCCTATCATTAAGAAAAAAAAAAAAAAAAAAAAAGGGAGTAATTAGTAAGGCTCTAGTTTGTGACCTTTTTCTTATCTTAATGTTATTGGTATATACAGTATAGGGTTTTAAATCAAAATGTTTAAACTTTCAAATCTCTCTTGTTCGCATTTTTCTAATGAACACTAAAATTATGTATATGTGATGATGGATACAAAGAGCTATAATTTAAAGATGTTGAATGCAAGAAAGTCATAAAATGGTGAAACAAATACACAGAATCGGGACTTTGGATGCCATATTCATTAATTAATTCTAAGGAGATTTGCTTTTCACGTGCTGCATTTACTACATTCATGGACAAGGAGTCGTCCAGGACCATCGACCATGCAAACTCTCTATGTTAATGTAATATAGCCTGTGACCAATATTGGATTCCAAACTAGAAAAAACAAAAACAAGAAGAAGACAACTATGCAATCATCCCATGTTTCTGATAGCAGAAGCCCCGAATCTCAGTTGGATTTTCTTTATTAATTACTGCTATAAATCACAATTTGTCTCTTATCATTAACCAATGCCCTCGTTTTGTATCATCAATATTCTTCAATCACTGTCTCATCAACAGTCCGGTTGTGGGTATCCAAAGTTGGTTTTGTTTTCTTATTCCTACTAAATTAACTATTCTCTTTAATCCCATTTTGTTTTGTAGCCACTTCGGACAAACTATTGATGGGACACAGAGGGCCATCGCAGGAGAGACCGAGGATCTTCCCTCCGTGAATTCACAGTGCGTGAAAAGCAAATCGAGATGGGAACATTTTTTTTTTGTAACATTAACAAAAGGTTCATGATGGAGTACTCTACAGTGATTGAGCAACAGATCCTACTGTTTCACTTTTCAAGCATCTAACTGTATAATATTTGCATTTCTATGACTCACTTAGGTATTTTATATACGTCTTTATAAACATCGTCTTGACACCGAGACCATCATATCTTTTTGTGCTGAGAAACTTGCATATCTTATTTGTTCCTAAGGCTTGGTTGAAGTAACATTTTGCTCTAATCCTATTACACCAAGTTGTTATGACTTATGAACACATATAAGCACGATCGTCAAATATTCCTTTAACATAATTGGAGTTAATGAATATCTGCTCCTGATTTCAAAACACTACGTCTATTTTCAACACTGATAACGTTAAGTTCAGTTGTGTAAGGACTAACACACAAGTCATAATTACAACACTAGCAAGCTGCTAGACACATGCACTCGGAAAGCAGTGGAAAAACACATAAAAAGAAAATTGAATTTGGAAACATACAGCGATAAATCATCAACGGAAATATGCATTCCCAAGACTATTCAAGCGATCAGTTGATGGATAAGCTTTAGTCCTGAAGTCAGCTTGTTGAGGAAAATCCCTTTCTGAATTAGCTCCTCCTTCCCAAGACCCCTGAACTGACCTCCTGGTTGAACCGTATCTCTCAAATTCAATCCGCTGCCTTGGGGCACTCTGTGACCTAACCTTAGCCCGTGATGATTCTGTGTTAGCCATATAATTAGGGTAACCTGAGCATCCACCAAAGAAACCCCAGGAGCACTCACTCCTAGTGGGTGTGAAAAGACCTCTTCTTGCACTACTTCCTGGTCTATATGATGCAGAAGATGCATGTGGGCTGTTCTCAGCAGTCCTCAAAGTTGCTTCGCCTTTTCCGACTGGAGACTTTACAGAGCTTAATGATAAAACATCACCAGAAGTTACACTTGGGACTGGGTTCACAGTTTTTGCTGATAATTTTGATGGAGAGTCTATCATCATGAAGCTGTGATTGTTGTAATCCGAAGCGGAAACATGCTGTGAATTCCTGAAGGTTCTATTGTGTTGTTTGGGGGTCAAGTTAGGCTTCCAAGTATCTACTTCCAAAATCTTGTCACTCTTCTCATCATCTGCATGTCCATTTCTAAGTGAATTGACACTGTGGTTGTGTGATAAATTTTCTTCCATCCAATGATCTAACCAATTTGAACCCAATCGTGCTTTCTCTAGGTCAATGATATCCCTCAAGTTTGAATTAGAACCACATCTCTGCATTCAATGAAACAGAAGAATGCAGTTAAAATTACCTGGCACGCACGTTATAAAATTTTGATGACAGTAGGAAAGTATTCAGAACCAAATTACGAAATCACTAAAATTTGACAAGTGAGACTTATTTCTTTTATCATAGCACAATTTCCATATCTGTTATTTATCTTTCTCTAATAACATTCTCAAATTCAAACTTCATTTGAATCCTAAATGAAGAACACAAAGTATCTCTGTCTAGGAAGAAGCCATATAAAACTATGCTGCTGGTTAAAAAGTACGAGTCTTGAAGAAGCACTTTCAACTTTTTATCTTATAAAATAATTTAAACATACAAAAGAAGAGAAAAAATTTTCTGAAAGTATCATATAGGGTATGAAATAAGTAATGTAAGATTCTATGGAACCAATCAAGTGGTACCTTCAGGATTGAGGGCCCATCAAACTTAGTACTTTGAGCACGAAGTTGATATTCTGCTTTGTCAGGACTCGGTGGTAGCTGCAAGTAGAAGACCGTTCAGTTCAAGCATTCTCTTAAATTTTGTTAAAATTAACAATACCTTTTACTACATAGTTGAATAATACAATAGTTAAAGAACAATATGAATTTTGCTCAAGTCAAATTATGGACTTGACAGCACTTTCACATTTGATTTGACCATTTAAGGTAGAAGTCTACTTGTCCCCTAAATTCCAGAATCAAGTCACATGTTAATAAAATTCAAAACTTTACTAATACTAGGTAAAATAAAACCTTACCAACCCCAATCATGGCCTTTGAAGTAGCATAAAGAAACATTTGGGGCATTCCTGTAGAACAAGCCTAAAAGTAAAGCTGCCCTCATATAATCAAGTAAACATTCTCATCAGTCCACTCTTTTTATAAATGAACATGCCAGAAAAAATTTTAAGAGACTACAGCTAGCTGACAGAACTGGCGCTTCAAATGCTTTTACAATTGACATGAAGCACTTTTTTCCATGTCCCATGCCTCTTTTTAATACATTTGCAAAGACACTGTAGATATCCTACATAATAACCCTTGAATCTTGAATTTATCTAGATTAATTTAGCATGCGGTCCTTAAAAGGTTCAATATGCACATGTTTACCATATGAAAAGGCAAACTTACAGCCTAACTCAAATTATTATTAAATGTTTTGGTATGAACAGAGATACTAACAACTAAGCCCAGCTGGAAAACACAAAAAAGTAAGTATATAGTTCTCCTTACGGGATGACGAGAAAGAGAGGACTTGCTGGTACAACGCAAAGATTCTGACACATGCGAGCGACTAGCACGGGCTCTTGCCTGCACTTTTACTAATGTTTGCATGCGCTTAAGCATATCTGCTGTTTGCTTCCTCACAATGTGACCTCTCACCAGTGCTTGAAGCTTCACTAATGCTTTTAGTGCCTTCAGTGCCCTCCTTGCCTTTAGAATTAACACCAAACGTAAATAAATCAGATGCCTATCTCCACTTCAGATTAATTAACCATCCAATATATATATCAGAAATGAATACTATTAATTAAGTAGTTGAGTGCTATACCTATACTGTAACTTACTGCAAAAAATGCATTTTTTAATTTTAAGAAAAAAAAAAAGAAAAAGTGCTACCAGTAATTATAACATTGTTTAGGTCTAAAAGTTGTGGTGGTGCAGGAGTCCAGGAATTTAAAAACGATTTGCGCCAGATTAGCATGCAATTCACAAGGGAGAGAAACATGGGTGTAATCATTATCTCTCTCACATACCTAACAAAAACAAGGGCAGGAAAAAGAGTAAACAATGAACTCTATTCTAATCATAGTTTTAAATAATCATTGAAAACGTAAACTGGAAGGCGGGCTAATACAATGTAGACCAAAGTCAAATCAGAAAGACAAACGTTAAGCTATTTCTTTTGTCTATTAACCACAATATTAAAACTTTGAGAACCCAAAAAGAACTTAAACTGTTCTAAACTCAATTCAAACATCAACATCAGGATTTTCTTGCCAAATTAGAAAAGGCAACAGAATAAAAAAAACTTTGATAGTTGCTACAAAAACATAATTTAGGCAAAAATGGAAAGTCAGCTGATAAAGTTGATATCAAAAGGCAAACCCAGAAAAAGTACTTATTGCAATTCCTGTAGATGAAGCTAATCAACCAGCTCACCTACTAAAGAGATTGGTCCATCAGCCCGGATGTGACCAGTAACCACCATGGTCCACTAAGTTTATATATAACTTGTTTAGTTAATGAAGCATAATACTTAGTTACATGTTCATGAACAGTGCTCTTCCTGTTTTGTGCAGACACTAAGTTGAAGACAAAGGTAAATCCAAATACCTAAAAACGCCTAAAATAGAACATGTCTTGGGTTAAACATACTGGCACTGCATACCAAATCATATCCAGCCACAGCAGTTTGATTATTGACTAATAACCCGTTAATCCTAGAACTCCAGTACTAAAAAAAATTTAACACCCTTAATATAATTTGGTCACGCGCGTACAGAGACAGTGGGGGGAGTTGTGATGAGATTCTTGAGAATAACATGATCTTTTACATAAAGAGGAGACACGTGCGAACACGTGACACGAAAAAAGTGAAGGAATTTTGAAATGAAACAAGTACAGATAAACACAGTAAGACGCCGTGGATAAGAGGGAATCACTTCTTTTCCGTTTGGAGTAACGGCGAAATCACTAATNTCCAAATACCTAAAAACGCCTAAAATAGAACACGTCTTGGGTTAAACATACTGGCACGCATACCAAATCATATCCAGCCACGGCAGTTTGATTATTGACTAATAACCCGTTAATCCTAGAACTCCAGTACTAAAAAAAATTTAACACCCTTAATATAATTTGGTCACGCGCGTAAAGAGACAGTGGGGGGAGTTGTGATGAGACTCTTGAGAATAACATGATCTTTTACATAAGAGGAGACACGTGCGAACACGTGACACGAAAAAAGTGAAGGAATTTTGAAATGAAACAAGTACAGATAAACACAGTAAGACGCCGTGGATAAGAGGGAATCACTTCTTTTCCGTTTGGAGTAACGGCGAAATCACTAATCGCACACCACTCACTACTGTGTCGGCGGACCTTACTCAATACTTACTGTCTATCAAACTCATCTTTTATCTTGTCTTGTTCCTTCTTCTGTTTCTTTCATATTTCTGGGACCATTTGTCCTTCCAACTTGAAAATATATTCACACCATTGTTTTATTTTTACCAGTTAAGTTTATTAAAAAAAAAATTGGAAAAAAATTATTTTTGAAAACACAATCAAACAAAGAGTTCTATCATGCTGGATCGAAAATAGTAAATCAGTAATTACTAACCAGATAGCCTCGAAACGCGGACTGTATTTTAACGGTGGCGAGTTCCTCAGACCAGCGTTGGTGGCTAACATGAGGGGAGGCGGAAACACCGCTACGGCCACCAGCGCCGGTCAATCTGACAACCTCCGCCGCCGCATGAGCAGCCGCAAGAGCCGCCTCTGCGACAGCCGCAGTGGCGGCGGCAACAGCTATGGCGTGCTTGTTAGCATCCAAATTAGCATCGAATGAAGTCAAGGAAAGGTCACGCTTGGTGGAGTGAGAGGAGAGTACGGAATTGGAGGATCTAGTGAAGCTCCATCTTTTCTTCTCTTTAGGCGTGGCAGAGTTACTGGGCTTTTTAGCGCCAAAAAGTCGGCGAAAAAAGCCCATGGTTCATTGCCGGAAAGGGTGGAATAAAAAAAAAGCGTAGCGTTTAGGAGGTTTAGAGAGAAGATTTAAGAGTATGTGGAAGGAGAGAAAGAGAGAAGAAGAGTGTTATCTAGTGGGAAAGGTGAAAAGATGTTTATAATATTGAGCTAGGAATAATGGAGCATTGCATGTACACGCGTACTTCAGGAGTTTGTTTAGCACGCGTGGCATTATCTTCGTTTCTGGACGCTTACGTTTTCATGGCGTAAAAATTATTTACAAATTGGATAGAAAAGGTTTGTTATTATGTAATATTTCAACCTAAGAGTAATGGATTGATTAAAATTCGTATCTTTAAATGGTCGGAGTGGTTTAATAAAAACTCTTAAATATATTATTTAAGAGATTTAAATTTCCTTTCGATTATTAATAAGAGTAGTAATTGAAATTCTTATCTAACTAATAATTCAAGATTTTAAGAAATTAATTGAAATGCTTGTATATTAACTTAGACACCTCGACCTAAAAAAAAAACCCCTAAATTGAATCGAATCTCTTTTTATAAACATGCCTTGATAATATATCCACCTAATAGAAAGGTAACATTAACATAACAAACATTATTTATTGTTTGATGTCAGGAAGAAAGCTACAAATGCAATGGCTAGAGCCCCTAGGCGTCAGTATGAGAAAGACCCAAACGTCACCGTGCTTACGGGTTTGTTAGGTCGGGGTTGGACATGGAGGGAGGGTCCAACCAATTTAATTTCGAAAACAAAAGCTTCTCCTTTTTTCTGTACCTAATCCATACTTACAATTATATATGGGTAATACTAGAGTATTAACCTTTTCTCACCAATTTTTTTTTTGGTAATTCTGAATTCATAATTAATTAGTATGATCTATATATGATCCATATGAGACTTGTTATAAATTAACCAATTATAAATTGTTACATTAAAATTATAAAAAAAAATTATACGAGAGAATTATTGATATAATATTATTTATTTTATATATATATACATATATCAACTATCAATAATTCAGTACGTATTGGAGTCTTTGTCGTCTTCAGTTCGAGATTACATTTTCTGGCTTCTTTGACTGTTTGATTTTCTTTTGACTTTATAGTACCAACTACCACGTACCAACTTAACTAAAACTTTCAGAGACAAGAGTGCTGCGGAATTTGAATGAGAGTCCAGGGACACTTTTTCAGGCCTCAAATCTAGTGCAATTGCATTATTGGATAATTGGTTGGTTCAATCCCAGTTGGATTTCTCCCTTGCACACCGGACATTGGACATTTGCTGATGCTTGTAGAATCAGAATCTGGACAACTCACGAAACTGGAAACAATATTTTTTACCAATATGCTTAGACGCCATTACTAAATTTGTGCGTAGTAGGTCTTGCCTGATTGTTTAAGCGAGTCAAATTGTGTCAGGTTACATTTCGTGAGAGAGATTAGGTGATGCTAATTGTCTTTGGTTGAAAATTAATTAACTTTATAAATAAATCAGATTCCATTTTCACCTTATCTCACTCAACTAATTAATTAAATAATTAATGTATCTTGCAAACCTAATTACAACTACTTTCAATATTTAATTATCATGGTAGAGTTTATGAAATTGGTGTTAGGTTGTAGAGAAAATTTAAAGAGAAACTTGTATTGAATGAATATATATTGTTAGAAAATGCTGGGAAGAGACCTTTTACAGTCATAAATGTCACTGGAAAAAAAAAATTTAAAAGTATCAACAAAGTTATTTTCCTTCTTCCTTGCTTATGAAATTATGTTTATCTTTTTGGGTCATTTCTGGGGCTTCTTCTGAATTTACTTAAATCCAGCCCATAAAGCCTAATGGCCTCAAATCTTGTTCCTCATCTGTGTATGTGCAACACGATTGGTCACTGTAACCATCTACTTTCTCTAAGAGTGTGAGATTAAACAATTTAAGTCCTGGTGATTTTAGTTCTTAATTGAATAATATGATCACTGCAACTCTTCTTTATTTGATAAGCTACTTAATTACCTCTCAATCACATTATTTTGTCAAGTTGCCATTGTCTTTTAGCTCAACCTTGAAACTCATTATATCATCAAATATATCAAACCAGACTGAAGTTAAAGAATGTATTGAAAGGAAAATCAATTATTTATTTCATAAAACCAATCTCACTTTCTAACATATTCTATAGGACTCGGTCATGGACCAGAATACATATTTTATAGAAAGAGAAATTTTTTGGTAGAACTCTTGACATTATTTTATTACTCCACTCGCCTGGGCTTCATGCAGTGATATTCTTTATCTGCATATATTATGAGAAAAAAAAAAATTCAGAAATATAGTCAAATATTATAATAAGAGAATGATAATTAATGAATATAAGATCCATACTTCAGTCGTACTGTATGACAACTTGAGGTTTTAAACTATTGCAAAAAAAAAATTCGATCTTTTTTCAAAAGCAGAAATTATAGTTAGTTAATGGTATTAGTTAAGTATGCTTACGATCAATTAGCACAGTCGAGGCGCGGGAGATTGCATTGTGAAGGCAGGCGAGCTGAAATTCTAATGGTGTTGCAAATACAGTCGTGGTCCACAGACTGGAGAGCGTTGCAGCAATCGGCACTAGGACTGGAGTCAGTGACACCAGGCACCACAAAGGGTGCGCACACATTGAGGTTGGTGAGCTCACTGGCGCAGTTTTGTGCGTTAGCCTTCTGGGTCTGCGCTGCTAGTGCAATGAGCAAGACAAGCAATGCAGCTTTAGAGCTGAGATACACCAGAGACTTAAGACCTGCCATGCCTAGTTAGCTATAAAAACTCTTGATACTTTCTTTTTAATTTTATCTTAAATTCTTGTGTGTAAATTCCTATGGTTTCACTTCCATTTATACTGGTTTTGGAGATAGTAAGAGGCGTGCTTTTGCATGAGTTAACTAACTAAAGGTTCTGAGCTCATCCTATTAGTGTTGGATTCTAGAATAGTAGTTAGAAGATACAAAAAGACTCATTCATAAATTTGTATGTACAGAATAGTACGGGTTATTTGATCTAGATCTCTTCCTACTTGTGTTTTTTTTATTTTTTATTTTATTTTGGTATCTGATCTAATTTATGTTTATCTCAATTATTTTCTAGAGACTTGAAATTAATGTCTAGATAAGTCTCTAATGACTATTCTTTATTAATAGTTATAGGTATTTGAACTCAGGACTTTTTCTTGAGTAATACACTAAAAAATTTTAAATGAACCGTCAAACTACTTAAAGGTAGATTTCTAGTTGACTTTGAATGCCTACCAGTTACGATATGTGTTGATGTTGTACCTTATTTAATGACAGAGAATGTAAATAATTTTTTTAAAATGAAACAAGTTGGGAGCATGGAATGGCACACGCTGAAGCTATGATTTTATCACTTAAAAAAAGGGGAGGCCAATCCATTCAACGCAGGATTGTCAGATTAATCCGGGAGATTTTAACAATGGCATTGACCCAAAATTGGTTGCAAATGAACTGATCCAAAGAATAACTAAAGAAGAAGAAGTGAATACAAAAAAGCCACTAGAAATAGAGCAAACAAAATCTTCATGAAGATTTAAGCACGGTTTGATCAGAGGCGGCAGCATCAGCCGTCCAATACAACTTCACAGCAAAAAGAAGCTTCTCCCTCTCAAGAGGCCCATCCTCATGATCAACAATTTGACTATCCCAATTCATAGCGTCCGTAATCTTCTTTATCTTCACTAGAACATCAACATCATCTCGAAAGATTACACTTCCTTCGGGTCTCAGAATCCGATCCATCTCCAACAAAATATCTTCCATTTCACATCTAAAACGCAAATGCCCTCATTAGAATACTCAAAGGATCAATAGAGTTAATCCTAAATTTGCCTTCATAAATATACAATTACCTGTTTTTGTAGAGACTAAACACAGAGTCAGCATGAATAAGGTCATAAGTTCTAGGATAAGTTGACATTGCCTCACACCTGCAGTATAAAAATGTATTAGACACTCCATTTTCTAATTATATTGTGAATCCAACCCAAGTGAAAGTAATTGAAGTTTACCAATTCTGATATGTTCCTATTAATCCCCTTTCATATATGACTCCAAGGGTATTGAGCTTAGCCTCAACAGGAACCACATTCATTACCCAAACTGGGTGATCAATGAGAGCAGCAGCAAATCCTCCCAAGTTGGCATTCATGTCTAAAAGGTTGCGGTACCGCCCCGCTTGTCCTAATTGTTTGTTCACTGTTTTATAATATGACACCCTTCTCTTCCATAGTCGAGAGTTTTCTTTGAAGATTTCAGGTGTTACTCCTTTCACGGTTCCTCTACTAATCCTTGGTGGAATTGCGTTTAGTCTCTCAGGCCACTTGGCCAGTTTACCACCAGCAATCTCTTGATTACTTGAAACTTCAGGCAACCGAATCAAACAAGTATCCATTTCTGTATACCTGGAAAATAATCAAGATTGAACATGATCAAACATGCAATTAAATTGAAAATACTAGAAATGCAGGTTCAATTTGGGTTATGGGAAATACAAACCAGGCTTTGTCAGGATCTTGAGCGGGGCAGAAATGTGGGTTCTGGTTAAGTTTGCGGTTTACTTTACAATTCAAATGATTGACAGGTTTTTGCCAAATAGCAATGTCATCTTTGTCATACAACTTTTTCCAGCAAAGGCTCTTAGCTACATTTTCAATTGAGGTCTGTTCAGCATTCAAATCCTCCTTTGTTCTTTCCCAACCTTTCCAATATCTCTTCCAATTGATTGGCGGGCCAGACAATATCCAATACCCACCAGGTCGCAGAACTCGATCAACTTCAATCAAATAAATTCCACCTATGAACACAACATGTAAAATTTCATATCAAATCCATATGGGCACATTAATGGTACGAAATCTTGTTAAAGGGAATTACCAAACTGGTTCCATGGAATGAGGCAGCGAGAGCAGTGAGCCATGTCAAAAGCCCTGGACGGATAAGGAAGTCTCTTTGAAGCAAGAACTCCGATCAAAGCAGGAACTCCCCGCTCAAGGGCAAATTGAACTTGTGCCTCGTGGGTGTCCCTTGGGGCAAACGACATCGTTAGGATGTTGCGTGACAGAAGATAGGCCCCCCAACTGGCAACCTGCGTGGTTACATTTTAATATGTGCACCAAACTACGTGTTAAATAATTTTGATTATTGAATTTTTAATTAGGAAGTATTTGGAGCGATCCAATACATGCTTGCCTTTCAAAGGTAAACTAGCAATAAAAGTAATTACAATAAATATAACAATTATTTATTTATTTATCACTTCAAAATGTGCATTGATGGTAGATTCAAAGGGCCCTGAATACTCTGTATATTCCCAGCGTGTAAGGCAAGTACAAGGAGATTTCTTCAATCTGAAAGTGCACATAAATCGACAGTAGTTTCCAGTAAACTTAATAAAACTCCGGATCAATCAAAATAAAGTATGCATCAAATATCGAAGAGCCTCGTTGACCAACGTATTTTTCTTGGACTTTTAAAATAAGTACCCAACCCAAAAATAGTACAATTAACTAAAATAAACTAATAATAAAAAAATTCAAATAAAAATATAATAAGAGAAGAAGCACGTACCCCACAGCCAGTATCAATTGCGGTACGTATAGAGCCATCATTTTGATTGATCAACTTCCCAATATCGTCAATATACGCATCAGCTCCATTAGGGAACATGGTTCCTCCTCCCGGGAATCTAAAACGATCACCTTCATATCTGATCCAATTTTGCACTGCCTTCTCCACAGTCAACTCCTTGTGCGGAACATTAGCGTACCAAACCAGATCCCTACTCGCCGGCCACGTAAATGGGTTCTTGTAACCGTACGGTGCCGGGACTCGGCATTTCAATAACTCTTTCTTCTCAGGACAGTGTCTCTCTCTATATATCAACCTACTTCTTTCAAATTTCAGAGATCTTTTCGCGTCCTCACATGGCGTATACTCACTGTACGATGTGTTGCATGGTGGGTACGCTTTGACCTTGGTTGACTCGGTAACAACAGCTTTAGCGAAATGGTGAGATGAGAAATCTAGGGCTTTGGCGTTGATGGTATTGGTTTTATTTGAGGCACAAGCGAAATTGACGGTGGTGGTGGTGGTGGAAGAGAGGGTTGATGGACCGCCGCGTTGCCAGAAACCTAAGAGATAAGAGAGAAAGCAAAGGAAGAAAACGAGTGTGATGGAGTAGAGATTGGCTAATTTCTTGGAGAAAAATGCTGTGGGAATGGCGGAGTTTTTTGAAGGTTTAGAGGTGGGGTTGTATGGTAAGTTTGGAGGACCAGCCATGGCTTTTGCTTAAGGTGATAAGAGTATATGGAAGCTGGTTCTGCTACGTATTTATGGTTTTGAGTTGAAGAGAAATAGGTTGACGATGAAGTTAGTCATGTGGGTTATGATTTTGTGAAAAGATAAAATAATTCATAAAAATTAACATTACATCAAGGGAAGGTAGAGAACATGTAGGTTGCAGATGGAGAGAAATGGGAAATGACACAGAGAGAGAGAGAGAGAGAGAGGGAGAGGGAGAGTCTTAGGTAATTGGAAATTAATATTAATTATTGAATTAGGAGTGTAAATTAATGTGAGATTTAGAAGGCGTGGGCTAGTTAAATCCTGTCCGGTTGAGGACATAAAAGGAATTGAATAATGGGATGGAGACTGTGATTGGTTGGTCGAATTGTAAACACTATTGCTCCTCTTGAGATCGATTCCTTGGGACTGCAAGAACATTGTTTTGGCTACTATAGACATCAATTGAATATATATACATATAAAAGATCTGCTTGACCATGTTTGAATTATTTGTTTGCAAAATAGGAAAGGATATTCTTTATATGGAAATGTTTATGAGATTATGATTCTTTATATGTAGTTATCTTTAAGTTGTCATTTAGAAAGGATTTTATATCTAGGTTAGAGAATCTTGATGGTGAATTTTTCATATAAATAAAATGTATATTTATTAATTTCTAAATACAAAAAATAAGTTTTTTATTCAAATTCAATGAACTTTTTAAATTTAATGAAGAAATTCTTTATTTTCAAGAAAGAGACTTAATGGGGGAGATAATTCATAAATAAAATGCATAGAAACTTGTAATATATTAATTAAAATTAGAATAGAGAATAAAATTTAACTTTCTAGATGTATAGAGTCAAACTCAATCTTGTTTTTATGGATAAACTCGTTACAATAAAGAGTTTGAGTCATATAAATAAATCTTTTGGAAATGCTCTGATCCTCCAACAAAATATTAAATTCACAATTTCAAGAAAATTTATGACAATTCCCGGATCTTAGGCCACAAATTTTTAGGATTTTTGAAACTAATCAAATAGATATAAATATTATTATCCAAATATCAGTGAAACCAATATTTATATATTTTTTTTTTTATAAAGTAAAATGAATACGAATAGGATAGTTAAACAAACTCACCTACATTTTATTAAATTAAATTAAGAGTGGTGTTAGGGAGGTACTTTAGCTAGCCAATTATATCAATTATAGAATAATCATTGTCAAAATAGATAAGTTATGTGATACTTGATTTCATAAATTATAAATACTATAAATCAAATTAATTGTCAAGTTAATATTAATTATTTGAAAGAAAAAATATATATCATATATGTAGTGTTGCTCCTATCAAAATTAAGAATTTGGTTATTTCATAATTAGTAAAAGTAATGGATTAATTGCAGTGTAAGGAAAAAAAAAAAAAAATAGTGTAAGAAAATAAAAAAAATATGAAATTAAATAATACCGAATCCGGGGCGACCCGGGGATGGGAATAACCATATCCCCGCTGGCTGGGCATAGGGATTCGTCGACATCCCCGTCCTAGGGACAGGCTGGGCACGAAGACAGGTCCCCAGCCATGCCCATCCCTATAATAATAGATGCTAAATATACTCCACGCCTCTGAATTTTATCAGCAGGAGGAAGAATTTGGTGAAGAAACCTCCATGCAAGAGTTGAAAATTTAGGGGGAAGAAAGTTTTCCCAAATACTAGGAAGTGATTTTTGAATTCTTCATGACCATGAAGCCATTGAAAGCTCACCAGTCACAGGTTTTTCCATACAAGTTGATCAAGCTCATCCGAGGGGAACATATTTCAAATTTACATTGCAATATCAGGGAAAGCAATTTGAAAATCTTGCGGAATATTCATCTCTGATTATCAATAATATCTGAAACCCTTGCGCGAAGATAGGAATTTTTTGAATTTGGAGTATTTGAAGGATTCAGGTGTGTAGCCATCAGAGGCGTGTTGAGCCCAGAAAGAAATGAAGAAACACAACAAAACAAAAGCCTTTGTAAATCTTATTATTCTTTGTTTTCTTATCCTCCTATAAAACTAAGACCTCAAATTTCAATTATTTTTCCTTCATTTTGAATCATTGATCAGCTCAACGGAAATTTGTACCTTTAAAAAAATAAAAAATAAAAAACCATTATTGAACAGGGTGTAATTATCGGTGACTATTGATGAGGAAAAGCTCAACCGCGGAAGTCGGAACCGCCCATGAGCCCACCGGAATACTTTTGCCTCCATTCAAATTAATTAGTTGTATAGCATTGACGTGTTAGGTCTGTTTGAGTGATGTTGTGGTTTTAAACAAACGTGGTGTCACATATACAAATTGATGTGGCACAATGTGAATGCATAATTAGACAAAATCAATTCAGTAAAAGTTAATTAATATAAATAAATGATGTGAGTATAAAATATTATATATATATATATATGTTAGAAATTTTCTTGATCGTGGGTTACCATTAATTATAATTCTTTTTTATTTAAAACTAGGTAAATGTGTAGTCTAAATGAGATTTTCAGATGAGTTTTATGTGATCGTTTTAAGATTACCCAATACAGTTCATTATAATAATTTGGGTAGACGACTAGTGTGGACTTGGGGCTTTTAACGGGCTTCAAGATTCGTTACGTATTTAATGAGAGGGCCCAATTAACCAATATTAAAATTGGTTAGGTCCCTTTTTCAAACGCATCAAAACAACTTAACCCATTGTAAGTCGGCGTAAAAACAAATTGGCTTGGATTGATGTATAATTTTCTTACATTTTATAGCCGAAATATCCTCAATCAACGAGGCTAAGTAACTAACCTCCAAGTAATCAGGTAAAGTTTCACAACCAATTCAATAAAAAATAATTATCTTTTTCATCGTTTTCTTATTATTATTTTACTTTTTTTTTTTTTACATGCATGTGAGAAGGTAAACATATCCCAAGAGTTATTTGCAAACTGTTATTTAGTAATGTGGTGTATTTTTTATGGCAGGAACGAAATTTTCTATTGTTCAAGAACATGCGGCCGGAGAAGTACAGATATTTTGGAAGTAGTAGTGTTTGGGGAGGTAAGGCTTCGGCTCCACTCTTTGAAGTTCAAAGATAATAGCAGAGTTCGTAAAGTGGTTGAAGAATGGAACCTCCCCAGGGATTGTATAAAGACTGACACATTCTAACTCTTTTACCATGTTGTTATTCATGTTGTGCAACTTCTGTGTCCTTTTCAGATATTGTAGAGGGAGCAAATGTGGTTATGAAAGTGTGGAATTGATATGGTGTTGCTGGGATAAGGAGAGGAGACCTGTTATTTGGGCAGGGAAGCTGGCTTTTTTCTGCTCTTCTACCCTGTTTCTTGCTGCGGGTTTAAGGACTATCTCAATCCTTTCCACACCCTCTTTTCACTGGTGGTGTCCTTGTTGGCTAATGTGTTTGGGAGTTTGTTTTACGGTTTGGATGAAGGCAATCAGTTTTTTTTTTTTTTGTTAGCCTTGTCTATATGTAAATTTGTACAGGCTGGTTTTTTGGTTTGATGTAAGGCCTGCCATTTTTGTGTTGCTGGTCCGCTGTCCTAGGCTTCCGTGTGATTTGCCCGCTGGATGTCTGAACTGTTTTTTGCTGTTTTTTTGCTTTTGCTGTGTTTGTTTGGCTCCTGGGAATGTCCAGGTTGTTTAAACTCTTGTAGAGATTCCCTTGTTGGGGGTCTCATTCTTTCATTCTTTATACTATTTCCATTTACCCAAAAAATAAAATAAAATGTAAAATTAACAATATTATTAAAGGGTGTTTTTTAGTGTTTTAAAAGAAATTGAAAAGGGGGAAGTCAATATTACTGGAAGAGTACTTGCATAAATGGAGATATATATGACATTTGAAGCGTAAGACAAAAAACTTTATATTAGTTTTTTCATATTTAATAAAATAATAAAGTAATTTATTTAAAAAAATTATATCAATCTCCATATGTTTTTTCTAGAAATTTTTATTATTAAAATCATTTACAAAAAGATAAATGCAATGGATAAAGATATAAAAATTATAATAAAAATATATTACTTTAATATAATAAATAAATAAAAAATAGAACAATAGAACCTGAAATTTGGTTGGAATAACTCCTACAGTGGTATGATTTAAAATCCGGAGAATTTGTAATGAGTTTAGATTGAAATATTAAGTTTAGAGATGGAATAAAAATAGAAAGGAGTGAAAATCGAAATCTAACCTTCTAATAAGATTTTAACAAATTTGGAAGTAAATTATGTATTTATATATTGATAGCTAGAGATTAAAAATAATGTTGAAAATTTTAATTAAATAAGATGAATTTGACTTTGAAATATCAATAATGATGCTGTTATAAAATTTATATATATATATTAAATTTCCAATATATAGTTTTAGGAGGTCAGCAATCAAAATAGAAAAAAATAAACCAAATTAAAGAAACTTTTCTTTTCAATGAGGTCAGCAACCCAATCAACTCCTAGGTGATCGAGTGGTTTGATAAGAGCCTCTTATATATATTATTCAAGAGATCTTAAATTTGAATTCCTCTTTGAATGTTAATAAGAGTGTTCATTGGAGGTTCGTCTGACCGTTAACTTTAGGGTCACAAAAAATGTTTTGAATACGTACAAACTAGTTCAAACACTCTCTATCAATAAAAAAAAATAAAATAAAAAAAGTCAGCAACCCCCACTCATCTATACTTGGGTTCATCCCAGATCGTAAGAATAGTTGTTTATATATGAAATGTATATATTTTATTTAAAATAACCTCGCCGAAACAAAGATATTTATTGAACAAAAAGAAACTACATGACATAAAGTAAGGACGGACTAGCTCCATGGAAGACAAGTACGATCTCCATCTAGAGGAAGCATACAAGCACGATCAAATTGTGAAGTAATAATCCAGTTGCATTGTCTGCAGTCATCTCTTCTTGCGTCGAAAATTTCGACAGAATGCGGTTGGCCAGAAAATAGAAAATTGCCATACAATTCGTTTTCCAAGAAAGCGTCTCGAAATGAAGAAAGAAAGTCTCACCTTTAACAATTGTAATGGCCGTAAAGACTTGGCTGGCTTGGTACCAAAAGACAACAACATGCAATTCGCAATATATCCTCGCCATTCGTTTCCAAACCATTAAGGATAGTTACATTTCTTCTAGGTCGATGGAACAAAGAAGCATCGCAGATAATTATGTATGGCACCACCAGAACCAGAAACAAGATAGGATTCCTGAATGGATCATGCTTGCTGAAAATCTGCAGAATTGAGAGGAAAGGTTCGGGACTATATATTTGAAAATGAGAGACTGATTCAAAAGTACTGTATATATAATATAACAGAGTCGTCTATCCTCTCTAGTATTTTACATATGGAAGTTTATGGTAAGTTTTATTAAGGCCTAAAATTAATAATATACCATTGTAATCCTAATATTTAAATTAATACTAACGAAATAATCCAAAATTTTTATTACTTTCGGTAATAAAGGCTAAATATTTAAAATTTTTTGTTGTCTTGTATATTTATAACATATTTTGGATACTACCAACTCATCCTAAAACTTTCCCAAAATCACATTCTAATTGATTTGTTACTGTATGTGTAATAAATTAAAAGTAATACTACACATCCTAAATACTATTCGGAATTCATATCCCAAATGACTGTCAGATGGGCATTGTCATATTATCAATACATCGTTATTTATTTATATGTCAATACCACATATGATTACTAATTTTGCTATATGGAATTTGGGTTAAATTTTGGGAATAGTAGTATAATATTAAGTTTAGAGATGGAATACTATAAAAGGAGTGGAAATCAAAATCTAACCTTCTAATAAGAAATATTAAATTAGTTTAACAATTTTAAAAGATGATTGAAGATTTTATTTGGAAGTAACTGTGCATATAAATGTATATATTTAACTACCATTTTGTGACATGATGTTAAAAGATAAATGATTCAACATGAGTCTTGGTTTGAGTCCTTCCAAGCACTAAATAGAGTGGTCATTGAGAATTTATCTAACCATTCATTCGGTCTCGAAATTAGATGAGGTGTATGTAAACTGACCCAACACCAGTCACAAAAAAAAAATTAAATAAATAATATTTTATTTAAAATAACCTCGCTGGAGGGCTAACTAGCTCCAAGGAAGACAAGTACGATTTCCATCTAGAGGAAGCATGCAAGCAAGATTAAATTGTGAAGTAATAATCCAGTTGCATTGTCTGCAGTCATCTCTTTTCGAATCGAAAATTTTGACATTATGGGATTGGCAGAAAATAGAAAACTGCTATACAATTTACTTGTTCCAAGAGGGCCGTCTCGAAAATGAATAGTGAAAGTCTGATTTTGACAATTGTAATGTTCAGAAGCTTGGCTGGCTTGTAGCAAAAGAACAACTTGAAATCCGCAATATGTTCTCGCCATTCGTTTCTAAACCATTAAGGATACTTACATTTCTCTAGGTCGATGGAACAAAGAAGCATTGCAGATAATTATGCATGGCATGGCACCAGCAAATCAGAAACAAGATAGCATTGCTGAATGGATTCATGCTTGTGGAAAATCTGCAAGAATTAAGAGGAACTTTTTCTTTCTATTGATTGAGGTTTGGGGACTGTGTATTAAAAATGAGAGACTGAATTGAAAGTATATATAGCAGAGTCGTCTATCAATGGAAGAATTTATGTTGTGTGACTTTATGGTAGTTTAAATGGAAGAATAAATATGTCTTGGCGTTAGGCATCCCTTTGATTAAGGCTAATTATAATATGCCATTATATCCTAACATTTAAGTTATATTATTGAATTAATCCAAAAATTTTGATTCCTTTCTGTATATTAAAATTGTTTGCTGTCTATTAAATTCTAACATATTTTTGAATAATACAACTCATCCTAAACATTCCTAAAAATTACATTCCAAATGATGTGTTACCATATGTGTTTTGAGGGTAAATAATTAAGAATATACTAAACACACACCTAAACTTATCCAAATTTATATCCCAAATGACGAGTCGCATATGGGCACCGTCGTATTGTTTATATATCATTATTTTATTTACATCAATGCCACTATGATCACATATAATTTGGTATAAGAAATGTTGGGAATAGTAGTAGTATTATACAGTTTTAGGAGCCCTTATTCTTAATTCTTAAATGGGCTCTACAGTCTACAATTACTCACTTGCCAAGGGCTGCAGCGGGCAGTACTATGGAAATGGTACCATTTTCTTGACTGTTGGTACACCTGGAAAGTGGGAACATGACACAATTTCGAGCTAAAATCCAAAAGTGATTGTGGCGGACCATATGGGCAATGCTAAGACCGTACCTAACCGGACCAGAGAATTTAAGAAACTAGCCTCTTTGTCTAATAATCTCAACATTTCTCCTATTATTATTTTGCACCAGGCTGAAAACCAAGCTGATCATTTCCTTGCTTTCGGAATTACACAAGTGTTGCGCTTTAATAATGTCACACCAAATTTTCATTCATGTCTAGCTCCTGAGGTTTCATTGTATCTGGAAGAGACCACTCGAAGTGTGAATAAAGATGCCAACACCAACGACTGCCTTATAGCCATCGGCATTCCTGCACAAATTTCCTTCCACTACCAAACGGCAGGTCTGAATCTAGCCTTTGTAATCCAAACTAGAATCGGACCTCTCTGGTTTGAAACTCAAGGCTTTTCCCAAATGGTAGGGTCTCTTGCAATAGCCCATACGTTCACGAAAACCTGAGAGTCCTAGGAATGGGATTTCATCACCTCCATCTTCGATCGCTCTGTGTGGAAGCAGAAGCGGCGCTGGAGGGTGTAATCTCAAAGTTCCTTGACGGCATACAGTAAGAAGGTTGGCTAGATTTTCCTCTGTTACAAAATCTTCTGAGACTTGTTGTGCAAGCTCTTCGCGAATCTTATCATGGCTTCCGGATCTTCAGGAGTTCCGCCAATGCCTCTACTGTTGAAGTTGTACTATCAGACACTGCAGCCAGAGTTCCTGTATGCCCCCAACAAAATATGGGATTAATTACGTCAAGTTTTAACGATAATGGTTTAAAAAGAAAACTAAATTATTGGATTTACAGAACTGTCCCTCGTGAAAAAAACAACGTACCACGAATATTAAACTGATTTGCTCATCGGAAAATCCACTGTCAACAATGCGTCCAAGAAATCTCTATGGTTACTCGGATGATCACCACCTCGACGTTTCTCTTCTCTTTTATGGTGCTGTCCCAAATTCCACACATTTTCTTAACGCATTCATCAGCCTTCTTCCTCAGACCCTGAAGATCAAACCCCTCATATTGGAAACAGATCTGATATATTTGGTGCTGTCCATAACTCCATCATTTCTCTTACAAGCCCGCCATTCCTCTACTTCTCTGCTACCGAAAGCTAGGAAATCTTTTGATAGTAAATATTTGACAAGGAGTTAAACGTGGTAACACAAGACTTCCCGAATTTGCACCTTTTGTCCTTCTTTGAACCCAGAAACTCCACCAGTTCACCAATCTTTTTTTCTCTTATATGGAACTGGCTATCAACGATTTTTGACCCGAAAAGCTCATTTTTCATGAGGGCTCGGAAATTCTTCCCACTCTCAGTGCACTCAGGATCGAGCAATTGAGTCCCGATTGTACTTAGGCTCTCGTGCGAATGAGACACATGGCACGTGCCTGCCTGAAATTTTCCCTGTCGTGGGTCTTAAGTATGGCAGCTGCAGCATCCGGGGAGGAGCCGACAACCACAAGTTGACTTCCAAGACGGACGGAAATGAGAGGGCCATAAGTCTTGGAAATTTGGGCGAATGAGACATGTGGGTTGTCACCAATAAGGGATAGGTTTCCTATGATAGGCCACGGTTTCGGACCTGGTGGAAGTTTTACTGGAATTTTGGAGAATTTTCTTTTGAGGATGAGAAGTAAAAAAGCTGGAACAAGAAGCAAGAGAGTGATAGGAAGATAAGTTTCTACTGGTATACATATGGAGGCCATGATCGATCTGCCAAATATTATTAGATAGATGGACAGAAAGACTGGGGAGCAGTATACTTATAGCGAATGGCAAGACAAGAGTAGGTGTCATGCCATTTCTAGATCAATAACAACAATTAACTAAACTTCAAGGAAGAAACTGTTAGTTATATTAATAATAAGTGTCAATTTATTTAAAATACAATCCACTTTGGTGTTTTTTAATCATCTTATTACCAGCCTTAATCATCAACGGATTCTCCTTAGATATTTTGTCGGATTAAAACCAAATCTCCTATGGCCCATAAGAAAAAGCAATCTAGCTGTTTAATGTTTTCTCCGTGGAGCGTAATATTGTACGTTATAATAATGATTAGCTTATAAATGTGTTATATAATTAGATAAAAATTATATAAAATATATATGAAATAACTATTTTATCTTTTATTTTTTGTTTAGTTATATAACTCAAGAAAAAGTAAGGAAGGTAGCTCGGCTTCATTAATATTTATGATTTATAACCCAAAATGGTTAAAAGAGGTTTACTCTTTTTATTGAGTTTTTTTATTTAAACCTTGGAGTTAGGGGTGGATCGAGGCTAGGCCTACCCTCACATTTAAAAAAAAAAAAAAAATTATATAGGCCTACAAAAAAATTGTTATTAATATATATATTCAGACTTATCCTCACATTTAAAAAAAAATGAAAACTATTATACTAACAAAAAAAACTTGCTATTAATATATATATTTCAGGCTCATATCATATTAAAAGTTTAAAACTTTCTCAACTGATTTTTATGATTTTATCTCAAAAATTATTTACTCTCTTATTCTCTCTTTCTCTTTCTCTTTCTCATGCTATTCGCTCTTAAAACTTTTGAAAACCAAAATTGTTGAAGGTTTCACTACTCAAGGTACCACGATCAGCTCCGTTTTTTGTTTAATTAGTTTTAAGTATGTGTATTGCTCATTTCAATTTAGTTTATTTTAGGGTTGAATGATTGTTATTTTTTTGAGGTTTTTTATTTTAATTTGATGGAAAAATGCATGGATCTTGTGAGTTTTGTTTTGTGTCTAAGAATGCTCATACTTTCCCAAATTAAAGCTAACTATATTTTACTGGACGTTATTCTTCACCTTTCACTCACCACTTTCCTACATTTCAAACGTAACTGTTTAGCTGCTCAAAAAGTTATTAAAGAAATTTTGAGTTACTATTTATGTTTATACCAATAAAATTTCCCATTTTTTTTTTTCATTCATATTAAAAGTCAACGTAACGTTGACTTGATTTAAGTTTTGGTTAATTTTAGTTTAGGCTAGATTTGAGCAAAGTCATGAAAATTTATATTATAATCTTTGGAAGCCAAAAATAAAACAAAAAATTAAATAAAAAAAGAGGAGAAATAAGAAATTTGTTTGGAATATTTTGGGTGGATTGTGGTATTTCGCTTTCTTCACATTGAAGAGGTTTTTGTAAGTAAAAATTTTCTTGTGAATTGAATGTTTTCAATATATTTATTCAAGGTTTTGCTTCTTATAGATTTATTCAAGTAAGAATATATTGTGTTATTATATTATTTCTTTTTAGGTTTTTGATAATATATTATTTCGTTTGTTTAAAGCTTGATGATTTTTTAAAATTTTTTATTAATTATTTGATAAAACAATGACAAAACTAGAGAGGCCCCGACAAAAAAATTATGGATCTCTTACTACTTGAAACCACCAATTATAATAATATTATGATTTATTTACCTTGTTATCGATAAAGTATTCAATAAACCTAAATAATTTAGTCGGTGTCACTCGGTGGAGCACTTTTATATATATATATATATATATTCAGACAAATACATCAAATTTAGGAAAAGTAGGGCCCTATCTGAGGTTTGGATTAAAAGCTTCGGATGTGTGCCCGACGTATGCACAGTTCATGCATGAAAAATGTGATACATAAAATGAATAAGGCAGTGTTGTCTGTTCGTTTATTTTTTAACCCACCATTTTCGTTTTTCTGAAATGGAAAATGAGAAAATGAGAAAGAAATGGGACTGGATAGAGAGAGAGAGAGAGAGAGAGAGAGAGAGAGAGAGAGAGAGAGAATGAATGGTCTCACTTCAAGTATAATAAAACTAAGAATGGAATTAAATTATATTTATTCTTTTATTCTTTTATACTTTCATATTCTCTTTTTTTTTTAATTTATTTTTAACACAAAATTATAAATTGGAATGAATTATTAACATATTTAATACAAACTCATTGTATCAATAAAATAAATACCATTTTAAAATATGTTTTATCAATTGTGTAAGTGATAAAATTCGCATTTTTTTTTATTTTTCTTCATTATGTTTTCAAACAAACATATTTTTTATTTTTCAAATATTTTTAATTTAAAAAAATAGAACAAAAACATAAAATTCATAAAAAACACATTCTAAGTTAATGTTTAAATCTTATTCTAATGAGTCTTTGGTTGTCACTTCTAATTAGTCTAAACAAGATTGATAAGATCATTGGTTTGAGTTTAAATCTTATTCTAATCTGACCAAGTTGTTGACTTTCTTTTATGATATGAGAATCATCTAAATTCATATTATATATAATAATTTTTGAAATATTTTAAAAGCTATTTGAATTTTTTTATCTTTTACCTTGATACGAGAAGATTTTTGATATTTTAATCTTATTTTTTATTTGTATATATAAAAAAATATAAGAATAAAATTTTGTTGAAATTATGAGTTTAAATTTCCAATAAATTAATAAAAAAACACAAAAGTAGAAAATCTAAAATTAATTCCTTACCATTTTATTGAGAGATTAAGGCTTGGTTTGGAATTGTTGTAGTTTACCCTTAATCATTTTTTAGCCAACTTTAGCCATAATCAACTTTTAAAATAATTTAGAGGCAGTTTATTAAAAGGTCATCTGAAGTTTACATTTAATTAAAAGGCTATCAAGTTTTAAAGTGTTAACTAAATAGCCATATTATTGATTAAGGGTAATTAGTGCTTAATTAGGATTAATGAAGTATTATGTAATCTTTTCAAAATTATACTATATTCCAAAAAACCCGAAATTGTTGCAAACAAACCCAAACACCTTCTTCTTCCTCCCGCCATTAACGCAACTCTACCTCTGCATCTTCTTCTCTTCTTCTTAGCTTCGTCTACATCTTCTTCTTCTTCCTCCTTCCTCTACATCTTCTTCTTCATCATTCCTCTATATCTTCTTCTTCCTCATTCCTCTATATCTTCTTGTTCCTCCGCCATTAACACTTTCTTGTTCCTCCACCATTAACATCTTCTCCGCCAAAGATCCCCCTCCTCCTCCTCCTCCTGATATTTCGTCTAGGTATGTGTATCCCCTTTTTACATTTTATATTTAGATTTACAAAGATTTAATAATGGATGGGGTTTGGGTTATGATTTTGATTTAGTTGTTTAGGTTGTTGGGTTTTGTTTGATGTAATGCAAGTTGAAAGGAGTGAAATTTGTTGAAAATTTGTTCTGGGTATGATGGATCGATTGTAGGTGGAGATGACTAAAAATGTGTTCTTATAATGGATCGCTTAAACAATCTGGTGTATCGCTTAAGCGATCTGATAGGTCTGGTAATGCAGCAGATAGATCACTTAAGCGATCAGGTATGCAGCAGATAGATCGCTTAAGCGATCTGGTAAAAGTCTAGTGTATAGGAGCAGATTGCTTAAGCGATCAGTAAATGGCATAAGAGCGTTTAAGCGATACAATAGACCATATAAGCGACTGTACAGATTCTTTTTAAAATATTTGAACCCTTAATACAGTCAAAAGCTAGGAAATCTTTTGATAAGTAAATATTTGACAAGGAGTTAAACGTGGTAACAAACAAGACTTCCCGAATTTGCACCTTTTGTCCTTCCTTTGAACCCAGAAACTCCACCAGTTCACCAATCTTTTTTTCTCTTATATGGAACTGGCTATCAACGATTTTTGACCCGAAAAGCTCATTTTTCATGAGGGCTCGGAAATTCTTCCACTCTTCAGTGCACTCGAAGGTCCAAGCAATTGAGTCCCGATTGTACTTAGGCTCTCGTGCGAATGAGACACATGGCACGTGCCTCCCTGAGAGTTCCCTGTCGTGGGTCTTAAGTATGGCAGCTGCAGCAGCCGGGGAGGAGCCGACAACCACAAGTTGACTTCCAAGACGGACGGAAATGAGAGGGCCATAAGTCTTGGAAATTTGGGCGAATGAGACATGTGGGTTGTCACCAATAAGGGATAGGTTTCCTATGATAGGCCACGGTTTCGGACCTGGTGGAAGTTTTACTGGATTTTTGGAGAATTTTTTTTTGAGGATGAGAAGTAAAAAAGCTGGAACAAGAAGCAAGAGAGTGATAGGAAGATAAGTTTCTACTGGTATGAATATGGAGGCCATGATCGATCTGCCAAATATTATTAGATAGATGAGCAGAAAAACTGGGGAGCAGTATACTTATAGCGAATGGCAAGATAAGAGTAGGTGTCCTAACTAATATATTTATAAATTATAAATTATAAATTCAAATTAGATACACAATTCACACGTTACAAATTGAAGTTAAATAAGCAATTTTAATATAACTTTGAAGGAGTTGTTAATTTACGTACCATTTCTAGATCAATAACAACAATTAACTAAACTTCAATGAAGAAACTGTTAGTTATATTAATAATAAGTGTCAATTTATTTAAAATACAATCCACTTTGGTGTTTTTTAATCATCTTATTGCGTGCCTTAATCATCAACGGATTCTCCTTAGATATTTTGTCGGATTAAAACCAAATCTCCTATGCCCCATAAGAAAAAGCAATCTAGCCGTTTAATGTTTTCTCTGTGGAGGGTAATATTGTACAGTATAATAATAATTTGCTTATAATTGGGTCATACAATCAAATAAAAATTGTATAAAATTTATGTGAAATAACTATTTTATCATTTATTTTTTATTTAGTTGTATAACTCAAGGAAAAGTAAGGAAGGTAGCTCAGCTTCATTAATATTTATGATTTATAACCCAAAACGGTTAAAAGAGGTTCACTCTTTTTATTGAGTTTTTTTATTTAAACCTTGGAGTTAGGGGTGGACCGAGGCTAGGCTTACCCTCACATTTAAAAAAAAAAAAAATTATATAGGCCCACAAAAAAATTGTTATTAATATATATATTCAGACTTACCCTCACATTTAAAAAAAAAAAATGAAAACTATTATACTCAGAAAAAAACTTACTATTAATATATATATTTCAGGCCCATATCATATTAAAAGTTTAAAACCCTCTCAACTGATTTTTATGATTTTATCCCAAAAATTATTTACTCTCTTATTCTCTCTTTCTCTTTCTCATGCTATGCACTCTTAAAATTTTTGAAAACTAAAATTGTTTAAGGCTTCACTACTCAAGATGCCACGATCAGCTCCGTTTTTGTTTAATTAGTTTTAAGTATGTGTATTGCTTATTTCAATTTAATTTATTTTAGGGTTGAATCATTGTTATTTTTTTGAGGTTTTTTATTCTAATTTGATGGAAAAATGCATGGATCTTATGAGTTTTGTTTTGTGTCTAAGAATGCTCATACTTTCCCAAATTAAAGCTAACTATATTTTACTGGACGTTATTTTTCACCCTTCACCCACCACTTTCCTACATTTCAAACGTAACTGTTTAGCTGCTCAAAATTATTAAAGAAACTTTGAGTTACTATTTATGTTTATATTAATAAAATTTCTCATTTTTTTATTCATTCATATTAAAAGTCAACGTAATGTTGACTTGATTTAAGTTTTGGTTAATTTTAGCTTACGCTAGATTTGAGCAAAGCCATAAAAATTTATATTATAATCTTTGAAAGCAAAAAATAAAACAAAAAATTAAATAAAAAAAGAGGAGAAATAAGAAATTTGTTTGGAATATTTTGGTTGGATTGTGGTTACTGTAAACACATTTCATTATATTAAATTTAAGTAAATTGTTAGATTCTTGTGGTATTTCGTTCTCTTCACATTGAAGAGGTTTTTCCACGTAAAATTTTTCTTATAAATTGGATATTTTCAATATATTTACTCAAGGTTTTGCTTCTTATAAATTTATTCAAGTAAAAAAATATTATATTATTGTATTATGTTTTTTAGATTTTTGATAATATATTATTTCGATTGTTTAAAGTTTGATGATTTTTTAAAATTTTTTATTAATTATTTGATAAAACAATGACAAAACTAGAGAGTCCCCCCGACAAAAAAATTGTGGATCTCTCACTACTTGAAACCACCAATTATCGATAAAGTATTCAATAAACCTAAACAAGTTAGTCGGTGGAACACTTATATATATATATATATTCAGACAAATACATGAAATTTAGGAAAAGTAGGGCCCTATCTGAGGTTTGGATTAAAAGCTTGGGATGTGTGCCCGACGTATGCACAGTTCATGCATGAAAAATGTGATATATAAAATGAATAAGGCACTGTTGTCTGTTCGTTTATTTTTTAACCCACCATTTTCGTTTTTCTGAAATGGAAAATGAGAAAATGAGAAAGCAATGGGACTGAATAGAGAGAGAGAGAGAGAGAGTGAATGGTCTCACTTCAAGTATAATAAAACTAAGAATGGCATTAAATTATATTTATTCTTTTATACTTTCATATTCTCTTTTTTAATTTATTTTTAACACAAAATTATAAATTGGAATGAATTATTAACATATTTAATACAAACTCATTGTATCAATAAAATAAATACCATTTTAAAATATGTTTTATCAATTGTGTAAGTGATAAAATTCGCATTTTTTTATTTTTCTTCATTATGTTTTCAAACAAACATATTTTTTATTTTTTATATTTTTCAAGTATTTTTAATTTTAAAAACTAGAACAAAAACATAAAATTCATAAAAAAACACACTCTAAGTTAACGTTTAAATCTTATTCTAATGAGTCCTTGGTTATCACTTCTAATTAGTCTAAACAAGATTGATAAGATAATTGGTTTGAGTTTAAATCTTATTCTAATCTGACCAAGTTGTTGACTTTCTTTTATGATATGAGAATCATCTAAATTCATATTATATATAATAATTTTTGAAATATTTTAGGCTACGTTTGGTTCACATTTTTATATTTTTGGGAAAAGTTTTTTGAAATGCAAAACTTTCTTTTAATTTTTTTATTTTTGGCTTCGAAAGATTGAAATATAAATTTTCATAACTTTGATCCGACCTAACATAAGTTAAAGTCAACCAAAACTTAAATCAAGTCAATGTTGCGTTTACTTTTAATATGAATTAATAAAAAAATTGAGAATTTTCTTGGCATAAACAGAGATAGTAACTCAAATTTCTTTAATAATTTTTAGTAGTTGAACAATGACATTTAAAATGTGGGAAAGTTGTGGGTGAAGAGTGAAGAATAATGTTACGTCCTTTACAATATTGTTAAGGTTTTAATTTGAGAAAGCACATTCATTCTTAGACATAAAATACAAAATAAACTAACAAGATTCATGTCTTTATCCCTCAAATTAAAATAAAAAAACTCCAAAAATACAAGCATAATTCAACCATAAAATAAATTAAATTCAAATGCGCAATAGGCATACCTAAAGCTGATAAAACAGAAAATTGAGCTAATTGTGGTACCTTAAGTAGTGAAAGATTCAACAATTTTAGTCTTTAAAAATTTTAAGAACGAATAACATGAGAAAGAGAATGAGAGAGTAAAAACTTTTGAAGATAAAATTATAAAAAGCAACTGAGTCGTAGAGAAGAAGAGTATAAAGAGTTATAAAATTTTAATATGATGTAGACTTGGAATATATATATATATATTAATAATAAGTTTTTTATTGGCCTAGATATATGTATAATAGTTTTTATTTTTCACAAATCTAGGGCTGGGCATACATATTAATAGTAATTTTTTATGGGTCTATCTATTAATAATTTTTTTTTTTAAATCTAAGGTCTACCCTCAAAGAGGTTGATTTGCTATTGTCAATGACTATCCCTATTAGTAATCTAAAAAAGATTTAAATTTAAGACTTTTTAAATAATACACTTAATAATCATTGGACCATTTAAAGCTAGTTAAGTATACGATAAATTGTTTTCGCTAATAATACCATTTCTTCCGCTGATTAATTGATTACGTAAAGTCGACAGGCTCACCTATTTGAAAATGGCCGAACTTAATGTAGATTGTCCTGGGCATATATATTAATAGTAACTTTTTGTGGGCCATATATTAGTAATTTTTTTAAATCTGAAAACTACCTTAAAGAGGTTGGATCTATACTGGTCAATACTACTTTTATTAGTAACTAACATAAATTTAAAGTAATAAACTCAAAATTTTGTATCGAATCACACGATCATACAATATAAAGGTAATTACGTATACGACAAGTTGATTCCATTTCACTTCTTCCACTGATTAACTCATTACGAAAGGTTGACAGGCTCACCTTATTTGAACATGGCCGAATTTAATGTATATTGTCGTTTTATGATTACGTTTCTCTCTGAGTCAGTGCAATATATATAGTATTACTCAATAATACAGGCTGCTGCTTCAAATCAACGGTTCATGCATATATAGCTTTTGGAGGACGACGACGACCGGGGTCATGTATCTATGAGATATACAATTTAATTCATACTTCAACTTGCTTTCAATAATTATATGATATGGATAAGAAAAAAAAATTCAGTAAAATCTGAAAGAGTCAGAGCCTATACATGCATGTTGCATGGACGTTCATACTTCAAAAAACTACACATAATTAATAGACGAATTGTTTGAACAGCAGTTTCATGATTATAGAAGAAACTTGTGAAATTAAATGAATATGATATGGCAATGAAAGTAATTATCAGTACGTGCTGATACATCATTTTTATGGTTAAAATAATTGTAGAGATTTCTTTAAGGGGAAGTTGAATTGTGATTTTGTCTGCAATAATCGATTTGCAAACTATTTATTAATTGCCTTGGCTTGCATAGATATATAAGTTGTTAATTATCCATGGAGATGGATTTATAGATAGCCAGTGATACAAAATGAGAGAGAGAGAGAGAGAGAGAGAGAGAGAGAGAGAGAGAGAGAGAGAGAGAGAGAGAGAGAACACCAATTTTTCATTCATGTCTAGCTCCTGAGGTTTCATTTATCTGGAAGAGACCACTCGAAGTGATGAATTAAAGATGCCAAACCCAACTGAACTGCCTTATAGCCATCGGCATTCCTGCACAAATTTCCTTCCACTACCAAACGGCAGGTACTGAAATCATACCTTTGTAATCCAAACTAGAATTCAGGAACCTCTCTGGTTTAAACTCAAAGGCTTTTCCCAAATTGTAGGTCTTTTCAATTGCCCATACGTTCACGAAACATGAG